TCAATAAGAGATCAAGCTGCGAGTCACCTGGGTCTCCTAAAGCTAAGCATTATAATTCTTTCAACTGTGGAAAGATCCCTTCAAGTATACTCCACAACAAGTGCCTCATACATTAGAGGAACTAATGTTAAAAATAATTACTTTTCTACATTCCATCAATGGAAAAATTATAGCTCAAAATTTATGTTAACTTATAGCAAAACTTTTTCATGCAATGACACTGCAATTGTAACTAATGAGAATACAATCACGCTCTACATAACAAAGTTTCATGGTCAACAACAGACTGCATTTGAGACAGTGGTCCCACAAGATTATAATGGAGCTGAAAAATTCCTATAGCCTAGTGACATCATAGCCATGGTAGAGCAACACATTACTCACATAGTAGCAACAGGTTATACTATACAACCTAGGTGTGCAGTAGGTTGTAACATCTAGGTTTCCCTGAGTACATCCTACGATGTTTGCACAACAAGGAACTTGGCTTAACAATGCATTTCTAGAAAGTATCCAAGTTATTAAGTGATGCGTGACTATACAAGGGTACTTCAAAAGCTCATAGAAAGATTTGTATTATCTTTTAATTCTATTTTTCCATAAACTTTTTGAAGTACCCTCATATATTACTTCTAAATAAATATGGTAAAATAAGCCTGGTCAAAACTAACAGCATAGACCTAAGTAAATACAAAAATGCAATTAATAATGAAAAGTAAAAAATACAAGTTTAAGCAAATGTATCAAATTACCTGAAATCCTCTATTCATATCAAGACCATACCAAACAGGCTTATGGTCAGGAGATTTGCTGGCCCACCAAGTTTTCCGTGGTACACTGGATGGGTTCGCTGAAATACACGTTTCTCCTGTTTCCATATTGCAGTGAACTTTGATTGCATCTTCAGCAGATCCCTGGTTAGGATCGATCCAGTATTCACCTATTTTCCAAAAAGAAAACATTTGCTAAATAAAGAGAATCTCAAACATGAGTATGAGTCTCCAAAAGAACTAACAGAAGGTTTGAAAATATGAATTTGATTAACGGATCTTTTAAGATAGAGCATCCCTTAAGGAAAAAGTAATTGCTCCACATTTGGGGCCTTTCTATGTGCTAATCACTATTCTAACACACTTTGCCGGACCANATTTGCTAAATAAAGAGAATCTCAAACATGAGTATGAGTCTCCAAAAGAACTAACAGAAGGTTTGAAAATATGAATTTGATTAACGGATCTTTTAAGATAGAGCATCCCTTAAGGAAAAAGTAATTGCTCCACATTTGGGGCCTTTCTATGTGCTAATCACTATTCTAACACACTTTGCCGGACCATGTACTTAAGGCTCAAAACACTCATGTGAAGGAAATATCATTATCCCCATGTCGTAGATGAGAAAACAATACCAAAAAAGAGATCTTCTAAAGTGAGTAACTGGATTTGGCCAAATTAATATGTTCCCATTAAATTTATAAAACCAATATTTTAAAGCAAATTGTAATTGGAATGTAATAAAATAATATATTATCAAAACTATGAATAAAGCACATAAATGAGTTAATGGTACTAGACATGTAGTCAAATAAATATACAAATATGTATTTGTGCATATATGTATGTGTATATTCATATATATGTGTGTTTATATATAATATATTAAAAATATATTTTAAATGAAATAAAAGGAGAGTGGTAGGATGCAAAGTACAGGTGGAGAATAAAATTGCCTAATCTTCAAAGATAGCAATTTTAGCTATCTCTGTCAATGTCATGCCCAAGTTAACTGAAACTCCTAGTATTTCATAGCTCATTCCTATGGCCTAGGATCTCTCTTC